AATCCCAGCACTTTGGGAGGCTGAGGCAGGTGGATCACCTGAGGTCAGGAGTTCGAGACCAGCCTGCCCAATGTGGCGAAACCCTGTCTCTACTAAAAATAAAAAATTAGCTGGGCGTTGTGGTGTATGCCTGTAATCCTAGCTACTTGGGAAGCTGAGGAAGGAGAATTGCTTGCCACTGGGAGGCAGAGGCTGCAGCGAGCCGAGGTCACACCACAGTACTCCAGCCTGTGTGATGGGAAGAAGACTCCATCTCAAAAAACAAAAACAAAGCAAAACAAAAAAAACCTGGTTTTATTGCAGTGGTCTGGAACTGAACCTAAAATATCTCTGAGACATGCCTGTACATGTGTTATCTCACTGAGCCTCCCAAAACCCAAAGAGGTAGTGTCTATCATAATCCTCATTTTATAGAAAAAGAAATTGAGGTGCTGTTTTTTTGTTTTGTTTTGTTTTTGTTTTTGTTTTTTTTCTTTTTGAGAGAGACTGTCTCATTCTGTTGCCCAGGCTGGAGTGCAATGGTGTAACGTAGTCACGGCTCACTGTAGCCTTGACCTCATGAAATCAGGTGATCCTTCCACCTCAGCCTCCCAAGTAGCTAGGACTACAGGTTCACACCACCATGCCTGACTAATTTTTTTTTTTTGAAACAGGGTCTCACTCTGTTACCCAGGTTGGAGCGCAGTGGCGCAACCTCAGCTTTCTGCAACCTCCATCTCCTGGGTTCAAGCAATCCTCCTGTCTCAGCCTCCCAAGTAACCAGGATTACAGGCACATGCCACCACTCTCAACTTTCTTGTACTTCTGGTAGAGATAGGGTTTTGCCACATTGCTCAGGTTAGTGTCAAACTCCTGGGCTCAAGTGATCTGCCAGCCTTGGCCTCCCAATGTGCTGGGATTACAGGTGTGAGCCACCTCATCCGGCCATGACTAGTTGTTTTTGTAGAGACGGGGTTTCACCATGTTGCCCAGGCTGACATCAAACTCCTGAGCTCAAGCGATTTGCCCGCTGCCTTGGCTTCACAAAGTGCTGGGATTATAGGCTTGTGCCACCATGCCTGGCCAATAAAAATATTAAATGTAATGATGCTAAGCATATGTCAGAGATTTTACTGAGTTCATTATTTCATGAGGGAAACAGATGTTACAACTGGTTCAAAGGAGAATTCTAAGAATCAGACACACACGTATATAGATCCTAAGGAATACAGAAATGATGATTATTTTTTTAGACAAAGTCTCTCTCTGTCACCCAGGCTGGAATGCAATTGTGAGATCTCGGCACACCGCAACCTCTGCCTCCCAGGTTCAGGCAATTCTCCGGCCTCAGCCACCCAAGTTGCTGGGACCACTGGCGCCCACCACCATGCCCAGCTAATTTTTGTATTTTTGGTAGAGACTGGCTTTCACCATGTTGCCCAGGCTGGTTTTGAACTATCGACCTCCACCAATCTGCCTGCTTCGGCCTCCCAAAGTACTGGGATTACAGGTGTAAGCCATCATGCCCAGCCCTTGAAATGAATTTAGAGATAGATGCAAACTGTCCTTTTTTTTGAGACAAGGTCTTGCTCTGTCACCCAGGCTGGAGTGCAATGTCAAGATCATAGCTCACTGCAGCCTCAACCTCCTGGACCTGAGTGTTCCTTCTGCCTCAGCCTCCCATGTAGCTGGGACCACAGGAATATACCAGCATGCCCGGCTAATTAAAAAAGTTCTTGTAGAGAAGAGGTCTCAATTTGTTGACCAGGCTGGTTTCAAACTCCTGGGCTCAAGCAATCCTCCCTCCTTGGCCTCCCAAAGTGCTGGGATTATAGGCATGAGCCACCACACCCAGCTGCCCAACCGTTCTGTCCACAGGACAATAATTGCATTCCACAGGACCCAGTTCAGGGCGACGTGACTGGAACAGAGTGGCACTGACCCCTACTTGGACAGGTATCATGTGCATTATCATCAGTTTTATCCAACTCACAATGTTGTAAAATAACTCAGACAAGGAGAGCTGGAGGTAACCCAAGAGAATGAGACAGGACGCGCACTGATCTTTTTTCTTTCTCACAGTATCAAGAGTGAATTTGAGGATGTTACTGAGTGCTGGGCACTATGCCAAGCTCTTTTCTTTGCACGCATTATAAACCAAGATATACCAGCTTTTTTTTTTTTTTTTTTTTGAGACAGGAGTCTTGCTTTGTTGCCCAGGCTGGAGTGCAGCGGCATGATCTCAGCTCACTGCAACCTCTGCTTCCCGGGTTTAAGTGATTTTCCTGTCTCAACCTCCCAAATAGCTGGGATTACAAGCACCCACCACCATATCCAGCTAATCTTTTTTTTTTTCTTTTTTTGAGATAGAGTCTTGCTCTGTTGCCCAGGCTGGGGTGCAGTGGCGCTATCTCAGCTCACTGCAATCTCCGCCTTTTGGGTTCAAGTGATTCTCTTGTCTTAGTCTCTCAAGTAGCTGGGATTACAGGCACATGCAACCAGGCCCAGCTAATTTTTGTATTTTCTGTAGAGATGGGGTTTTGCCATGTTGGCCAGGCTGGTCTCAAACTCCTGACCTCAGGTGATCCACCTACCTCGGCCTCCCAAAGTGCTGCGATTACAGATGTGAGTCATCGCCCCCGGTCAACACATCAGCTTTAGTGTCACATTCTTCCCACTGCGTAACCCGTTAGTCTCTGAAGGCAGCTTGGAGGGCACAGGATTCAGCCCTTCTTACTCCTAGGAACCCTTGGATGACCTGCCTGTCTCTGGCTGCAGGACCTGTCTGTGCTCCCCCAAATATCTCCCCAACAGAAAGCAGGCGTGCAGCAAATGGGACCAGCTTTTTGGAGGAAACTATCATTCCTTAACAGGCTTTTCCTTCTCAAGACTCCATTCTCCCCCTGTCCTGGTATGGCTTCCGGCTGTTGTAATTCCTCTTATGCCCACCAGATGGCAGGAGCTCCTCATTGTGAGTGCCAGATTGCACCTGGCCCGGGCAGTGCTGGCAGGCGCATAATAAACTCCAACTATGAAGGGTCAAGAGAACCCTGTGGGAGACCCCAGAGTCTTCAGCTTACCCATCACAAACTGCTGGGTTCTACCATGTGACCCATTCTGTCATTGGAGGCAGAAAATCTGAGTTCCTAGCTCATAGGGGGATAACACTTATACAGGTGGGAGCGTTCCAGACCACTGGGCTCATTCCAGATGGCTGGCCATAAAGTGGACTTTGGTGGCCAGAAAACAGAAAGTAAAGCTGAGCGGGGAACAGCAGGGGCTTGGGATCAGACAGATCTGGGTTGAAATCCTGATTCTGTCCATTACTAACTGTGGCTTGGGGCAACTGTGCTGAGCCTTATTTTCCCCACCTGTCTAATGGGGACAATAGCCTGTAATCACAGCACTTTGGGGGGCTGAGGTGGGTGGATCACCTGAGGTCGGGAGTTCAAGACCATCCTGACCAACATGATGAAACCTCGTCTCTACTAAAAATACAAAAATTAGCCAGGTGTGGTGGCAGGCAGCTGTAATCCCAGGTACTCGGGAGGCTGAGGCAGGAGAAACACTTCAACCTGGGAGGCGGAGGTAGCAGTGAGCTGAGATTGTGCCACTACACTCCAGCCTGGGCAACAGAGTAAGACTCTGTCTCAAAAAAAAAAAATGCGGACAATAATGCCTACTTGATAACTTCATAGTGAGGACCAAGGGAAAGGTGTGTAAGGGGCTTGGCCTGGCACCCCGGAGCCTTGGGATCCTCCCTTCATGCTGCTGCTCTGGCCAGGACCAAGCCCTTCCTCAAAGATCACATCCCATCCTCATGCGCCTCAGATACCTACCTGGGCTCGAAGCTGCTCCTCTTCATGGGTGGAGAACTCTGTTCGGCAGTGGGGAGGGACATCCATTTCGGCCACTATCTTGCCAATCCTCTGTTGCATGGCCACACACTCTTCTGCAGACAAGAATCCTTCCAGTACCAGGAACCCATCCTCTCGGAACTGCGGGCAGGATTGGGACTCAGGCTTCCCCAGTCCTCAAATGCTCCTGTCTGACCCTTCCATCAACCCTGCAGCTATGTGAAGATGGGACCAGGTATTCTGTTCACAGCCCTGTCCTCTACCCCAGGCGTGGAGTCTGGCACCCAGCAAAGAGCAGTCAATATTGGCTACTTGAATGAAAGAAAAAGTAGTGAGGCGAGGTGGCTCATGCCTGTAATCCCAGCACTTTGGGAGGCTGAGGCAGGTGATCACTTAAGGTCAGGAGTTCAAGGACAGTCTGGGCAATATGGTGAAACCCCATCTCTACTAAAAATACAAAAATCATCTGGGCATGGTGGTGCATGCCTGTAGTCCCAGCTACTTGGGAGGCTGAGGCAGGAGAATCACTTGAACTCAGAAGGCAGAGGTTGCAGTGAGCTGAGATCACACCACTGCATTCTAGCCTGGGCAACAGAGAGAGACTCCATCTCAAAAAAAAAAAAAAAAAAAAAACAGAAAAAAGAAAATGGAGCATTAAGGGGAATTTGTCCCTGTTCTTCCTGTCCAATAGGCTTGGGTCACCTGGAAACACAACCTTATTCATTTATTCAAGTAAGACGGATTATCTACTGTGTCTAAGACACAGTTTTAGAAGCTGAAAGCATGGCTATGAGCAAGTCAGCCATGATGCGCGCCCTCACGGTGCCTCCAGTCTAGTGAAGAAGACCAGCATTACGCTAATCACACAGGTAAATTTACTGTCACAAACTGTGTGCTGGAGAGAGAGGACGACCGAGTGCTGAAGGCAGAAGCAGCGAGAGCACACTGTCTGGGAAGGAGAAGGTGCTTGGGGCAGTGGCTCTCGGGGGGGAGTGACATTTCAAGAGGGGACCAGCGGGATAAGGGAAGAGCATTCCAGACAGAGGGAGCAGGATATGGGAAGCCCCTGAATTTGGGAGGAACATATGGAAGAGGAGGCAGGAGGATGGCAGGGGCTGGGCCAGGCAGGGAGCTGGGTCTTATCCTGAGCGCAGCAGCAGCCATGGAGGGGAAGCAGATGGTTTCTTCTGATTTGCCTCTGGTCCTCTTATTCTGAGGCTCTTGAGAGAGATAAAGGAGGGAATGAATATCTGCATGTTTGTCTGCAGAGGGTTACCAAGTCTTAGCCCCAACAGGGACACTAAAAGTCACCTAATGCTGGGCACGGTGGCTCATGCCTATAATCTCAGCAGTTCGGGAGGCTGAGGTGGGCGGATCACTTGAGGTCAGGAGTTGGAGACTACCCTGGCCAACATGGCGAAACACTGTCTTTACTAAAAATACAAAAATTAGCCAGGTGTGCTGACGGGTGCCTGTAATCCCAGCTACTCGGGAGGCTGAGGCGGGAGAATCATTTGAACCCGGCAAGCAGAGTTTGTAGTGAACTGAGATCACACCACTGCACTCCAGCCTGGAAGTGCACACACACACATAGAAAGTTACCTACTGCACACACCCACCAAGAGCCTGGTTTCCAGTTAAGGACACCCTGTGTCCTTCCAGCAGTGTATTTGTGTATTTACTGGATTAAGGGTATGCACAGGTGGCTGTGGTTGGCCCAGTTCCCTAGGAGGCAATTTTCAGCTTGATACCGATGTGATTCATTCCTAACAGAGCTGTAGGACCCATGGTGGGTGGTCATGAATGGTGTGTGGAAGCCAGAACTGGGCATCCCAATTTTATTTTTCTTGTAGAGATGGGGTTTTGTTATATTGCCCAAGCTGGTCTTGAATTCCTGAGTTCAAGCGATTCTTCCACCTTGGTATCCCAAAGTGGATTGGGATCATAGACGTGAGCCACAGCTAGGAATTCTTTTAGGATGATTAGGCAATAGGGGAGCAAAGATATACATATGGGGATATTCACTGAGCCTTGTTAATGACAGCACTAAGTGGGGAGTAACCTAAACACTCAGCTCAAGGTGATTAGTTTAACAGAGTACAGTTTATTTATCTGGAACACAACACAGCTGATAAAAATCATGTAGAAACATATTTACTCTCTTTTTTTACTTTTTTTTTTTTTTTTGAGACGGAGTTTCACTCATGTTACCCAGGCTGGAGTGCAATGGCGCGATCTCAGCTCACCGCAACCTCCGCCTCCTGGGTTCAGGCAATTCTCCTGCCTCAGCCTCCTGAGTAGCTGGGATTACAGGCACGCACCACCATGCCCAGCTAACTTTTTGTAGTTTTAGTAGAGACGGGGTTTCACCATGTTGACCAGGATGGTCTCGATCTCTTGACCTCGTGATCCACCCGCCTCGGCCTCCCAAAGTGCTGGGATTACAGGCTTGAGCCACCGCGCCTGGCTTTTTTTTTTTTTTAAATAAAGATGAGATTTCACCATGTTGGTCAGGCTGGTCTTGAACTCTAGACCTCAGGTGATCTGCCCACCTTGGCCTCCAAAGTGCTTGGATTATAGGCGTGAGCCACTATGCCCGGCCAAAACATATTTACTCTCATGGGAATGAACCTGATATACTGTGAGATGAAAAAAAAAAAAAAAAGATTGGCTATAAATGATTACCTGGCCACTGTGAGAACTTGGCCAAGTAAGTTCCCTCCTCTTTCTGGCCCTCAGGCTACCAAATGGGGATGACAGTACAGCCTCTTTTATTGAACCCGGCAGGCTGGGCGCGGCAGCTCATGCCTTGTTGTCCCAGCATTTTGGAAGGCCGAGGCAAGAGAATCGCTTTAGCTCAGGAGCTCAGGACCAGCCTGGGCAACATAGTGATGGGACCCCATCTCTACAAAAATTAAAATAGGGCTGGCGCAGTGGCTCACACCTGTAATCCCAGCACTTTGAGAGGCTGAGGGAGGCGGATCACTTGAGGTTAGGAGTTCAAGACCAGCCTGGCCAACATGGTGAAACCCTGTCTCTACTAAAAACCCAGGAGGCAGAGGTTGCAGTGAGTGGAGAACCTGGGCCCATTGTACTCCAGCCTGGGTGATGAAAATGAAACTCTGTCTCAAAAAAAAAAAAAAAAAAGTCAGGTTCCAGTCTGGACACAGTGGCTCACACCTATAATCCTAGCACTTTGGGAGGCCAAGGCAGGCAGATCACTTGAGGTCAGGAGTTCGAAACCAGCCTGGCCAATATGGTGAAACACTGTCTTTACTAAAAACAAAAATTAGCCAGGCATGGTGGTGTGCTTCTCCCAGCTATATGGGAGGCTGAGGCAGGAGAATCCCTTGAACCCGGGAGGTGGAGGTTGCAATGAGCCAAGATCATGCCACTGCACTCCAGCCTGGGCGATAGAGGCTCCGTCTCAAAAAAAATAAAAATAGCCAGGCGCGGTGGCTCACGCCTATAATCCCAGCACTTTGGGAAGCCGAGGCGGGTGGATCACGAGGTCAGGAGATGGAGACCATCCTGGCCAACATGGTGAAAACCCATCTCTACTAAAAATACAAAAAAAATTAGCTGGGTATGGTGGTGCACACCTATACTCCCAGCTACTCAGGAGGCTGAGGCAGGAGAAGTGCTTGAACCCAGGAGGTGGAGATTGCAGTGAGCCGATATCGTGCAAAAAATTAAAATAAAATAAAATTTAAAAATGAACTCTGTGTTGGGGGAGGGGGTGTGCCTGTAGTAAGACCCTGTCTCCTCCCCACCACCTCAAAAAAAACTTGTCCAGCACTTGATTCGTGGTAGCTGTTATAATGGAAGAAAATTTCTAGAGCTATATACGAAAATATTAAGTCTCAGCGTAGGAATGTTTGAGTGATTTTTTTAATATGCTGTGCTAATTCCCACGTGGTAGCCTTTTGTGATTGGACGAACCTGGGCCCTTCTCGCGAGCCCCGCCCCTCCTGGGTGCTGTCCCCGCCCCCCTCGTTGCCGATTCCAGCCTGGGGCCGAACTGGTGGTTTCCGAGGCTTTATTCTTGTTTTGGTCTAACACACACGTCCCTACCCCACCCCACCCTGCGTCCTGTGATCTGGACACCCCGGGCTGTGTGTGAAGTCAGGGGTTGTGGTTGAGAACACGCTCCTCTGGACTTCAGTTTCCTCCTCGGTAAAATGGGGCAAGGGGTGGGTTGAGCACGGGACTACCGCGGTGACCCCTCCAGCCCCCCATGATCCTCCCAGCCCCCACCTGCAGGCTCCTACCTTCTGGAGCTGCGAGGAGCTCAGGCAGGCCATGGAGACAGCTCGGGGCACTGGGCGGCTTCTAGGTGCTGCCTCCGGGTGGGGAGGAGAAAGTTTAGGAGCTTGGGAGGACTTAACCCTTCCCTACCCGGAGAAAACCCGATCCCACCACCCAACCCTCTTCCCCTAGACACTGCCAGATCAGCCTGTGACCTCCAATCTAATCTCCCCCACCCCCACAACGAATCCAGGATTTGCCCTGTCCCATCTCCAAGGTTTTCGTCTGCTCCCTCTGCGTTTCTTTCTGGAAACCACCCCCCACCACTGCTTACCAGGTGTCCGGAAGTTATGCTCTGAGAGGGTCAGGCAAAGCAGCTGGGCAGAGTATCAGTCCAGGCGCTGCCATTCCCTGTGACTCTAAAGGACTTCCGCCCCTCTCTAGGCCTCAATCTGGATAGAGTGGAATGCAGGATGGGTCTGGGGGATGTCTGACACCCCCCTCCCCCAGGTGATAGGCATTCCAAAGGTAGAAGAGGTCCTGGGGAGAACTGTCTGGGCCCCTCCCAGCCCTGATCTGAAAGCCTCTAGGTCCTGGGAGGATTATGGAAGGGAATTAACCCATCCACTCTTCTACCACAGGAAGGTAGAAGACACGGGTATCTTAGGAAGAGGAAGGGGCTGGAGTGAGAGAGATGCCTCCTGTTACCCACCCTCAAGCCTAAGATACTTGGCATCTCAAGTCAGGCTGGCACAGTGGAGGTGAGGTCAGAACAACACCTGCATACCACCCTTCTCAGCCTGCCCTGCCCAGCAGCTGGCAGGGCCACTCTCTGGCTCTGAAAAACCAACCACTGCCTTCCCCAAAATGATGCCTTCTGAATGGCAAAGGGACAAAGTGTTTCAGGAGTGAGCATGGGGACATTGCTCAGCCCTCAAGAGCCTTGGCCCCAAGTCAAGCTGTATTTGCTGGGCCACCGCTCTGGGAGCTGCTGCTTGGGCCAGGTCGTGGGGTGGGTAAGGGGAGGGTACGCAGTGAGTGCAGCCCAAGCTTCCGGTTCAGAAGGGTTAGGCTGCGTGAGGGGCAGGCAGATGACAGAACCACGAGGTTTGCTGGAGACAGGGTGTGTTCCCAGCTGTCCTCAGCCCTTCTGATTCAACTGCCCAACAAAGACAGATGCCTACCATGTGCCAGGAACACTGAAGTCCCTTTAGGCTGGGCCAGCCACCCCGGGAGCCCCCACAGAAGGCTTACAGAGGAGGCTCAGTGAGGCAGACTGCATTTGCATCCCAGATGTTCAGGCCTTACTTTCCCAGTCTGTAATTTGGGGCTAGCAGAAGGCTCCCCTGTGAGTGGTAAATCAGATGAATGCTTCACGACTGATAAAGAGCTTGGCACCTGGCCCGGCACTGAGTAAGTGCCAACCAACTGGTGAAAAACTTGTTCATCAAATGTTAGCAGGGGCTCTTCTGGGTGGAATATGATGTAAAGAAAATTGTTCTGAGCTTCCGAAATTGTTGTTACAATCAGAGAGACCACCACCACGGTGGTTTTAGGCAGAGTGGAGAGCCCTAGGCGGGTGGGGGAGGGGGACGGGAGAGGCCCAGCTTCCCACTAACTGTCCATTCTGCTCAGCTTTGGGAAGTGGGTGGGCGGTGTTTCCACATGGTTGTTTTTTCCAAAAGCTAACCAGCTCCAGATCGAACTCTTCTGCTCTGGGCACTAGACAGCATCAAGGCTGGGGTGGGGTGGGAGTGGGGTTGGGGGTGGAGGTTGGTGGGTGGTGGGAAGGGTACCAGACTCGGGGAGAGACCGCCGCCAAGGAGACAGAAAAAAAAAAGAGAGCCTCCGCAGGGGGTCACAGTCCAGCAACTCAGCCTGTCAGAAAGCCCATGGCAGAGGCAAAAGAGGGAGGGCATCTTGGCTCAGGCCTGAGTTCACCTGGGGAGGTCAGAGTCCCCGTGGAGGAAGAAAGGATAGACTCTGGCCAGTTGCAAAGGAGGTGCCCAGGCAGCCACCCAGGCCTCATCACTAAGGCCAAAGTCAGATATGATGGCCTTTCTTCCTCACCCAAAGACTCCTGCTGCAGGGCGCCCCCATTGGCCCACAAGGATCCTTGGTCTGGAAGGAAGATACAAGGCCATTTACTGGGTCCTAGGAGCCAGCCCTCCACTAAAAACCTATACAATCGCCACTGTCCCTCGGAACAGTCCTGCGAGTCTGCCATTCCCTTCTTCATTTTACAAATGAGAAAACTGAAGCCCCACATCAAACGTGGCAGAACTGCGATCTGGAAGCAGCTGTCTCAGAGCCTCTGCCTGGGACGCCAGTACCTCCCAAAGGCTCCCAAAGGGGCTGGGAGCTGAGGCAGGCCTCCCCACAGTGACTCTCAGCCCCACATCTGTAGAACACTTGGGACTCGCCGTTGGAACTGCAAGAGACCTCTGAGAACACAGAGTGGAAATTCCCACTGTACACATGGGGATATGGAGGCCACTGGAGAGAAGCGATCTGCCTAGCTTCATGCATGTCCTGTCCCATGCTGGGACAGAGGCCCAGGACTAATGGTTCCATTCCAGTGACCTCCTCTCCCATCCCCACCCATCAAAACTCATGAGGGGCCAGGCAAAGTGGCTCATGCCTATAATCCCAGCACTTTAGGAGGCTGAGGTGGGTAGATCTCTTGAACTCAGGAGTTTGAGACCAACCTGGGCAACATGGCAAAACCCCGTCCCTACAAAAAATACAAAAATTAGCCAGCATGCCCCTGTGGTTCCAGCTTCTTGGGAGGCTGAATGAGAAGACCACCTGAGCCTGGGGAGGTCGAAGCTGCAGTGAGCTGTGATCGCGCCACTACATTCCAGCAGTGCACTCTCGGTGACAGAATGAGACCCTGTCAAAAAACAAAAAACCCTCATGAGGGCCCAACCACAGGTGACTAGGATGGCAGAATGTGCTGGCTCTGGGATCCCTGGCCCCGGTCTCAGCCTGTTACCTAGCAGGTGCTCCGTCCGGCTTACAATCTCCAGTAAGTGCCTCCAAAGGCACACAGTCTCATGGGGCAGAGAGATGAGCAGAGTAAACTCTCCTGTGGGTGCCCAAGCAATGGTCCACACGGCCCAGCAGGTTTCAGAGAGGTGAGGGAAGGGTCCTCCCAGGACACAAAGACCTCCAAAGGCCACTTTCTGTTATAGATTTATTTGATACTGGAAACCGAGTCTACAAGTTCAGACCCACGTGTAACGGATAGCTTCACGGTTGTCAGAGGCTAGTGTGCATTATTTCTGAGGATTATACCCAATGACATGACGCAGAAAACGCAATGGACAGACGGACGGACATAATCATTAAGACAAGAGACGCTAAAACGTGCCTTAGTGTCCACGTGATTGATCTAAGGCAGGGACCCTTCTAAGGTGGGGACCCGAGTGATTGATCTAAAGCAGGGTGGCTTCCTGCCACCAGGCGCGGACTGGGCTGTGTGCACTCCAGGCGCCGGGGACGGAAACTGGCTTGGAACCAAAGTCAGGGAGCCTATACTCCCAGGGGTGACCTCCCCGTGCCCGTCCGGCCTCTAAGTGTCTGCTCTTCATGAAGGACCAGGTGGCGACAGGGCTGATGGAAGCAGCGGAGGCCAGCAGCGGCACTGGGCACACCCATGCCACAGGAGGTGGGGAAACAGAGTCTGGGCAAAGTGGCTCCTTAACACTCTGCGTGGAGAGGCAGGGCAGGCGCGAGGAGGGGAGGTGGGAATGGAGCACCGTTCATCCAGGGATTAGCCAACCCGAGTCTCCTCCCTCCTTGGCAGCTCCAGAACATTCCCTTTGGCCGACAGCCACAGCAATGAGTGCCTGCCAAGACACATGGAGGAGAAAGAAAACAAGACACCAAAAAAACCCAAAAAACAAACAAAAAAAAACCCTCCCTGCCCCAGGAACAAACAGAACCCCTGGACCAAGGTCACATGAGATTCGGAAGACACTCTGCACCCTGCGCCCCAGGGAAAGGAAACACAATTCAACGTCTGGCTACATTGCTCAAGAAAAACTGCCACCCCACCCTGAGACTCCAACTCACTGGCCATTAGTGTTTTTTTTTTTTTG